GGGTGCAAATCCCGGACTGGGCCGGTTGGAGACGTGGCTCCGGCTCCGGACGGGGTGCTCAGGAGGACGCGCGCGCGGGGGTAGAGGATCTGGCGCAGGGCAGGAAGCGCGCGGCCGGCGGGCGCGTGGCCGCGGTTTGTTTTCCCGGCGCACACCACGCCCACCGCGCGCAGGGATGGGCCGCCTGCAGCAAAACAGCCCCCAGACCGGCTAAAACTAAACAGTTTGACCCTTTCCTTCTGTGGTCCCTCTACCTCTATCTCTATCCCACCACTGACTCTGGTCAGGGTTTCTACTCTATATAACTTATTGTCATAGTGATGAGAAATTTAATATTGTGTCTACTCTGTAAGTCTGCCAAATGCATAAACATAAACATAAACCCCCACCGGCTTAAAACTCAATATGCCCCCACAGGGAGGACCCCCCACTCCATTTGGAAAACGACAAGATCTGGGATCGACCCAAACTTACTTTAAAGAGTCAAACACCCCGCCCCAACAACAAGTGTCATATAAAAAATACAGATGTCATCTTTCGTTTTATGAGGAAGTACTATATTACATTTAGAGGATTCAAAAATTATAGTTGGATACGTTTTTTTGGGTTGATTTCTTTTGAGGAAAGACGGAAAAAAGCACCATCTTGTGGAAAGTTGACAAATCAGCAGCTGCTGCTAAAGATGGCAGGTGGACTGCAGTTTCACACTGGATCAAATAATATCTGACATCCTGTTGTAGGAAAGCAGTTGAAGGAAATCTAAGAAGCCAAAATCGCTTTTCTTATGAAAAATACAAAATTTAAACATTCAAAAAGTCATATTCCAGGTGCATAAACACACAATGAGAACAGAAAAAAAAACATGTCTCACTTTGTGCTCATTTACCTGTTTAATTACATAGCAAACATAAAGAGTCAGTCATGATTTGAGGCTTTAGATGTATTTATTTTCTTTTTTTCTCCTCACAGTTGACAAGAATGAGAGAATCTTGGGAAAGGAATCACATCTTTTATGTTATCGACACCAAGAATGCACTGCAGGTATCTCTCAAACCCGAGTCCAAAACCTCCATGAGGGACGGAGCCAAACCGCCTCAGATCCAGATACCTGCAAATCCAAAACAGATTTTGTTTAATAATGCGAGGTCACTTCTTAAAGACGTTAATGTAAAGATTCGATTCTGTCTCACCAGCTGTAGGTTTCCTCTAATCCAGCCCTAAAAAAGAACGGGATTTATGTGAGACGCACACTGAAGATCTACATCTAATCCGTCGTTTTCATGCATTATGAGAAAAAAAAAAGATTTCCTTATGCGCCAGACTGACTTAGACTGGAATTGTCTGCACCTCACAGCTAAAGCCAGAAAAAAAACACTTCCTGTTTAATCTTTCTGAGATGCGGCAGCTGGAATATAAGGTTAATGGATACCTGCCACTTTCACCTCTAACCAGACAGGCAAAGCCTCTGCCTGCTGCCCATTTTAAACCTTTTGAGTCAGTGTGAGGCCTCAGATTCTTACTCCTCCAGCCGGGCCTGCAGTAGATCCAGCCTCTCCTCCCTCAGAGAACCCCCACAGAGCTCTCCCACCCCGGGCACCAGCAGGTCCACGGCAGCTGCCTGCACACAAACGTCCAGAAAAAAGCTCAGATATGCAAATCACAGCTATGACCCGACCGGTATTACAAGGAAGGAAAAGGAAAAGCGAGGTTGTAGCTAACGCAGTTACATAAGCATTTTTCCTGTGTGAATTTATTTTATTTTGTGAATGTGAATATGTTTTACTTTTAATATCTATTTCATATCTTTGTGTATTTTCGATGAATATGTATGTACATACTTTGGGAAAATATTGTAACAATGTCATATGGAGACGTCACCGATTGGGTCTTCACTTGATCACGTGACGCCTTTGATAGGAAGTTCTGAGTTTGTTTATAATTAGTTATTATATTCATTATTATTATATATATTATAGTTATTATTATTATTGCGTGTGCAAGAGTAAAGGCAAAGGACTGAAATATGGAAGAAATGCACTTCTAGCAACTCCTAACCTTCTGGTAGGAGGGGCATACGGTATGGACAATTTAGAGAATTTATATATTTTTTAATAAGTTTCATTTGATAATTCATGTAAGGTAAACATGACGGTTTTATTGATGAATATTTTCCACTGCGTATTTTGCAGTATTTTTCACGGTGGTCTTGGGCGTTTGCATGACAAAAAATACTTTAATAAAGGAACTGATGGAACCATCAGTTGGATATTTGCACTTTCATCAACCAGTGAGAAAAAGTTGGGAGCAGCTATAGAGGTTAAATCATTGATTGGCTCTGCATTCTGAACAGCGGGACCGTGTCTCACCGTGTGCCGGGGACGGTCCTGGTTGTCTCTTGCATAAAACGGCTTCAGGTCGTAGGGATAATCAGTGACAAAGACTGGGACGTTGCCACAATGTTTCACCAGGTATTTCTCGTGTTCTGTCATGAGGTCACAACCCCACTTTGGAAAAAAGCAAAAGAAAAAAAGCACCGGTTAATGTGGACATCTGTGGAAGGAGAAGGTCAGAGGCAAACATATACCAAGCTGTGCGTTAATAAAAAGACAAAAAACCAACTGCACTTACATTTGTAGGAAAGGTAAAGTCCTCTGAACTGTGGGTTAGGATGTCTATGGCCTCGCTGTAGCTAATCCTTTAAAGAGGAAAGCACACATTTAAGACTTGGACGTTTGACCACACCCTTTCTAACACAAATACAAACACTGAGAACTTACACGGGGAAGCTCTTGCTCATCATGGCATCAACAGTGTCCTTAGGATTTAATGCAAGGCAGAGAAAAGTCAGTGGAGGTAATAACGAGGTTGGACGCAGTCATGGCCGCTCAGTGTGAGGAGCCAGGTTACAGACTTGAGTTAAGGTAGCGTCCACCAGGACTCACCCTGTGTCCAGGAGTCACATGTCTGTGGAACAAATCCACATCCTCCACACAGTGAGCCAGCACATGCTCCGTAGCAGACCTGAACATGTCCTCCATGACCTAAGGAGCAGGCCAGGCTTAATCATTACGGCTGACCGGTGCCAAGGATCTGTGCTGCGTTCAGGGGCAGAGACTCGGCAAACCTTGGTGAGATCCTCTAAGGACTCGGTGAAGGAGATCTCTGCCTCCACCATGAAAAACTCAGCCAGGTGTCGTCTGCTTTGGGAGTTCTCTGCACGGAAAGTCGGCCCGAACGTGTAAACTCTGGAAAAAGCCCTGCGAGCAAACCAGTGGTGGTATTTAATCAAAACATTTTTTCACTTTCCCTGTCCCCCGGTCAGGTTTGGCATTAACCATTTTACTTCTGTACCAAAAATAAATCTTAAATAAATAATAAATAAGCAGTATTGGATGATCAAGGGAGGCCTCTCACCCTGACAGGCCTCACTTGTCAAAGCAAAAGTGTGGGGAAGGCAATATGCTAAATATTATTCATTAGTCATTATTTCCATAATGCTAAACACGACATGGGGTAAGAAAATAAATAAATACAGTGGGGGAAATAAGTATTTGACCCCTTGCTGATTTTGCAGGTTTGCCCACTTACAAAGAATGCAACGATCTATAACTTTAATCATATGTACATTCTAACAGTGAAAGACAGAATCCCAAAGAAAATTCCAGAAAATCACATCATATGAATTTATAAAAATTGATAACCATCTGATGAGGAAAAATAAACATTCTTTGTAAGTGGGCAAACCTGCAAAATCAGCAAGGGGTCAAATACTTATTTCCCCCACTGTACATAAAAAATCAGAATGGCGCTTGGATGAATGCGCATACACAAGTCTAAGATGTAAGTTTAAAACAATACAAATGACTTTTCTATTGTCCTCACCCCGACATCACCTCCAAATGAAGCTGTCCTGATACTGTCAGGAAGGCGGGGACAGAGAAAAAGTTCTCATCTTCTTCAAATCCGGGCCCCGATGGCTGTGGAAAAAGAGGACGGTTAATACGTTTAAACCAGAAATAATAATGCTCAATGGTCAAATTAGAGCTCAAAAGACAGAAACAGCATCACTGGAGTGGATTAACTGGACTTGCCTCGACCTGGAAGAGCTCCCCGGCCCCTTCACAGTCATTGGAGGTGATGATAGGAGTGTGAATCTGGATGAAGCCATTGTCCTGAACAGAAATAAAGAGAACAAATAAAACAGAGGCCATGGGTCACCGGTGTGAGCAGACCCCCGCTGATGTTTCTCACCTTAAAATAGGAATGAATGGCGGCCGTGGCCTCGCTCCGAACCCTCAGCAGGGAGCTGAAGGCATTGGTCCGACACCTGAGATGAGGAAGCTTCCGGATGTACTCCAGGCTGTGTCTCTCTTTGATTTTAAAAGGAAAATCCTTGAAGGAAATAAAAGGAAGAGACACAGACTTGTGTCATTTGTGTCCAATAACGCCTTTAGGATCATACAGTAAAAAGTTGGAAGCCTCATATAGGATATATTAGAAATAAAGTTGCAAAAACTATTGGAATACTGTTTAAAATAAAAGACTTAATAAATGTTAAAGGCTTGCATGTTATATATTCCTCTTTGGTTATGCCTTATTTGTCTTATTGCTCAGAAATCTGGGGAAATGCAAGTAAAACAACTATTGATATATTAGTTAAGTTGCAAAAAAAAGCTATACGGGTTATAAATAAGGTGGGATACCGTGAACCAACTGATAAACTCTTTATTCAAAGTAAAATATTAAAATTTTAAGATATTGTTTATACAAAAATACTGGAAATAATGTATAAAGCATTGAATAAAAGTCTTCCTTCTGGTATTCAGAAATTATTTAAGTTAAGAGAAAATAAAAATAATTTGTGAGGTTTCTTTATATTTGAATGTGCAAAAGAGAAAAGTCAGATAAAGTCTAGATGTGTTTCAGTTATTGGTGTGAAACTGTGGAATGAATTGAATGATGAATTTAAATTATGTCCTTTCTTGGTGAACTTTAAAAGAGCTTTAAAATGTAAAATGATAAAATCTTACGCTGTTATGTAGATCTATATATGTACTATGTACTTGAATCTGA